GAGGAGGCAGAGGAGGACAGGGCGGCGAGGAGGCGGAGGGGAGGAGGCGGGCAGGAGGCAGGGAGGAGGCAGGGAGGCCTGGAGGAAGGACAGCTGCCCAGCGTGCCCCAGGCACGTGCCCGGGAGGATGAGCCTCCGCCCGCCGCCCTTCCGGCGGCGTCGCGCCCCGCGCGGCCGTGCCCCGGGGGCGCTGGCCGGCCCCCCCCGGGCCCCCCCCCGGGCGGCAGCTCTACGCGCAGCGATGGTTACCGAGGGCCGCGCGCGAGGCGGCAATTAGGAGGTGCGCGGCGCGCGCCCCTCGCGGCCGCCTGGAAGCAGTCCAGGCCGGGCGAAGGTCTGCAGAGCACGCGCTCCTCGCCCCAGGAAGCTGCTGACCCCATCCCCACAGTACGGCGAGCCTTTGGGTTGCGCACGGGCAGCCCGCCTTGGTACTCAGGCCTCAACAGGCCCCCCCGCGTGGTCCCGGCTGGCCTCAACAGGCCCCCGAGTAGTCCCAGCTGGCCTCAGCAGGCCGCCCGAGTAGCCCGGGGCGGTCTTAACACCTCAACCCTGGGGCGCGGAGCGCCCCAGGGGCGCCGCCGGAGGCGGCGCCAATGTGTTGAAACCGCCCCTGCAGACGACTTCGTCGGGGAGGCTGTGAAGGCCAGCTGGCTGGGGGGCCTGTTGAGGCCAGCCAGTGCTGCTCGGGGGGCCTGTCTGCGCGCAATCCGAAGCCTTACAGCCTCCCCACTCTTGCCCCCTCGTCCAGGCCGCGGACATCGCCTGCTTCCCCACTGAGAGGAAGGACGTTCCGCCATGCAGAGACAGCACCAGGCGCCGCGCGCGCGAAGCGCGGCGTGCATGGAGCGAACTAAAAATTTGGTGTGGGCCCTTCGAGAGGAGCCGCCGAAGCCCGCGCCCACGGCGGCGCACCTCGGGCAGAGAAAAAACACAAATAAAAACCGCCGCGGCTGCCGCGGCGGGCCGCGCGAGGCAGCCTCCCCGATGCCTTGCTCGCCTCGGCCCGCTCGGAGGCTTGGAGGTGGACCCCAGCACCAGCACGTCGTGCGCCTGCGAGTGGGGCTCAGACTGCGGGGGGTCAGGGCCAGCGAAGGGCAACCGGGGAAGCACGGTGGAGGCCTGGAAGTGGACCCCAGCACCAGCTGATCGTGCGCCCGCGAGTGGGGCTCAGACTTCGGGGGGTCAGAGCCAGCGAAGGGCAACTGGGGAAGCCCGGTCAGCCAATGACCAAACAAAAACCGGGCCCCGGCGAAGAGTTCCCAAAGCAGCCACCACGGAGCAGCCCAGGAAGACACGGCGCGACCCCGAGCAAAGAAGCTCCAAGGGATGGAGCTCACCTCTTCCTGCCCCCCGCGAGGCGGACCCCCGTGAGCAGGCGCAGGAAAACGGGCGGTGCCTCCGGCAGGGATGCTGGCCCTGGCTTTTTTGGGGCGCCAGTGGTGACCTCTCGGCCCGCCGCGAGGCCCGAGCAGCGCAGCAGCCTCGCCAAGGGTCGCCATCGCTCGGGCGTCCATTCCCTGTGCTTTTTCCGATTTCGTGTGTGGTTTTTTCGCCCAAAGATCAAGGGCGCTCCTCGATTGTCCTCGCCGGAGCAATCATGCAGGCGTCCGAGCGATGCCAAGCAAGGGTCGGGACCACCTTCCCTCGGTGGAGGCGGCCGTCGACGTCACATCGGTGTTGGGGCCAACCCCTCGGCCTCCTGCGCAGAGGGACAAAGAGCGGCACAAGCATATGAACTGTTGGCAGTCCGCGCGGATTTCGTGGATCTGAGCTGGACCCCCGTCGCTGGCGCGCGGCGTGCGCCAGGGGCGGCGCAGGAAGCGCCGCCAGGGCGGCCCAGCGCGGATCCAAGAAATCCGCGCGGAGCGCCAAAAGTGTATGCATATGCTCCTTTGTCACGAGGGGGTCGAGATAGGGTCTTACCCTCATTCCCAGTATGTCTGGGCTCTGAAGGAGGGGTCTGATTCAAAAGGCAACCGAATTGCGAGACACGTTAGGACCCTTCCCCAGCTCCGCTGCCTAGGAAGGGTGATACATCGACTCCCCAAATCTACCCTTCCCGGGGGGGGGGGCGTAAAGCCTCTCGACCCCCCCATCTCTGATCGTCTTCGAGTGCTGGTGCCAACCTCCCGGCCTCCGCCTCTTCCGTCCTCGAGCAACTCACTCCACGGCCGTGGCCTCCTCGTCGCCGGCCAGCAGCTGCACGACCTGCGCGCCCCGGCGCCGCCCGCGGCGGGCCGCCGCCGCGGCGGCCACCACCGCCGCCCCCGCGGCGGCGGCGCACAGCGCCGCCAGCGCCGCCGCGCCGGCGGCGGGCTTGCCGCCGCGCGCCGACGGCTGGGAGGGCAGCTCGAAGAGGGCCGCCTTCGGCGCGGAGGGCTCCATGTTGGGGCCGCACGGCGTGCAGGGCCCCCCGGGGTTGTCTCTACGGCACCCGCAGGCGAACTCGTTCACGTCCACGCAGTCGTCCTCCGGGATCCACTCGCAGCCGCCCGTCGGCGTGAACGGTGCTGCTGGCGTCGTGGGCGGCGCCGTGGACGCCGGCGTCGTCGACGGCAGCACCGGCTCGGGCGCAGCGGCGGCGGTGACCGCGTCGTCGGCGCCCGCTGCGGGCACCACGAGGTCCCCGACGGCTTCCACGGCGCTCGCCCCCAGGGCGGCGGCAGTGGCTGCCAGGGCCGAGCCGATGGGGCCGACCCTGAGATTGCTGAAAGTGACGTAGGCCTGCTTGTTCTCGGCCCTGAGCTTCTTGGGGTCGCCGTCCTCGAAGGCGCAGGGGCCACGGGCGACGCCCGGGTCGTTGATGTCCTCGTCGATGAGCGTCTTCTCGCTGTCGAGCCAATTCATCCTGCCGAGGCCGTCGTCCCACACCGACATGGACATCACCATGCCTCGTCCGATGGCCTCGCCCATCGCCTTGCTGCCGCCAGCCATCTTGAAGGTGTCCATCCAGGTACGACTTTTCTTCGCTTTGTGGAGCTTGTCGCTCTTCTTCGTGACGTTGAACTTCTTGACGATGGCCGTGCAGAGGTCGTCGGTCAGGCTGTTGCCCTGCTCGGCCTCGTCCAGGGCGGTGGCGATGGCGTTGTCGATAACCTGGCCGCCCTGCACGTATTTGCGCCGGATGTCGACGATGGCGCCTTCGTCGGTGCCATCCTCGGTGACGAACTGGGTGATCACGGTGAACGGCTTGGATGTGTCCAAGGTGAACTCGCGGCCTGGGCCATAGAAGGTGGGCTCGCCCAGTCGGTACGGGTTGAGGCCGCAGCCGTCCTTGTCGCAGTAGCCCGGCAAACCCTTGCTCTTGTTGCCGCACTCCTCGTCGCTGGAGCACGTCTGAAGCCCCTCGATGGTGCAGGGGTGTGACGTGATCGCGATCGCCTTGTTGTTCGCCTCGAGGATGTCGAACTCGGCGCAGCAGGCGCCGTACTTGCCCACGGGGCCGACCTCGACCCACTCGTACTCTGGGCTCTCCGCGAGGGTCATGCCCCAATCCTCGGTGTTCGCCTTGGTATATGTTATTCCCATCGCACGCAAGGACCACATCCCAGGTTGACTTTCGAGCACCTAGCACAGCATCGAAACAGTGTCTGCCCGACACGGTGGCGAAGTGTCGAACGAGTATCGCCTCCCAGGGCCCGGCACGTGAAAACCCTGCAAACAAAAGCCTCCTTGGTGCTCGAAATTCTTTCCGGTGGTCGAAGCTGAAGTAGTTTATGGGAAGCAGAAATGTACCGATACCGCTACTCTCCAGACCTCTGCAAGGGCGCGTTCTGACTCGAACTTCGAAGCGAATCCAGCGGTGGCGACGAGGGCCTCCCAGGAGGCCCCCCAAAAGGGGAAAACGAGGCAAGGCTAGCGGCATGGGTACCTTGAGGCTGGAACATCAGAAGCCTTATTGTTGATGAACTTCATGCCCTGCGGGCACTGCGCGTCGCAGTAGCCGGCGCCGTACGCGGCGCCCGCGTCCGAGCCGCCGCCGTCTGGGGCCATCTCGATGAGATAGAGAGCTGCGTTGGTGCCGCAGGGCAGTGTGGAGAGGTCGATGTCGAACGTGAACTCCCGGTTCTTCAGCTGGAACATCAGGTACTCCTTGTGAGAACGGAAACTCTGTCTTCATACGGAGCACACCAAGAAGCATCCCTCTGGCCCGCGTCTGCGTCGCCGCCGCCGCCGCCGTTGTCGTCGTCCCCCTTCAGGGTCGGCGGCGCAGGCCGCCAGGCCTTCGCGATCAACCCTCATAAGAAGCACCCCGACAAGCAAAGCCGTTCGCTAAACGCACCCCAAAAATAATCGAACAGGTCAGGGCTGGTCAATAAACGCCCAGGGCCGCTTAGGAAACGGCACCAATCGGGGTCTGGATGTTTTTTTCCTTCCTTGGTCCTTGCCCGTGCTGTCGAGCATGTACACGCGCGAGCCGGGCACGTACTTCAGCGTCAGGCTGGAGGCGTCCTTTGACGCCTCGATGCCGTAGGTTTCGCTGTACTGGGTGGAGTTCAGGCCCTCCACGGCGCACTTCTTGGCGCAGGTCGCCGCGTCGGGGCAGTAGTCCTTGGACCACATGTGGTCCGCCTCGCCGATGCAGTTGGTGTACCCGCCGACGTTGTGCATCCACCTCCAGCTCATGTCCAGCACGACGCTGTAGTCCGTGGAGGTGCAGGCGCCGTCCGGCGTGCACTCCTCCATGCTGAGCTTCGGGTGGTCCTCCTTCTCGGGAGCGGCCAAGAGGGGGGCGTCCAAGAGGGGGGGGTGCAAATCATGGCCGGCGGCATGTGCGCGGCCCAGCGGGGGGGCCAGGGACATAATGAAATAAGAAGAGGCGCCATGAGATCTGGGGAAATATCATGGCCCCCGCCATGGTATCCACCCCCTCCTAGTCATCACCCCCCTCTTTTCCGCCCCCGATCCTTCGGGCTCACGTCGCCCCTCATCTGAGCCCGGGCCACCACCAGCGCGGCCGCGAACATGCGCGCGGGAGCGGTGCCGCCTGCCATCGCCATGCGGCTTCGGAGACCCCGCGGCAGCTCCCCCAGAGCAGGGGCGGCAGCCCGACGAAGTGAAGCCAAAGCACCTTGAGCCAAAATGGCTGCGGAATGAAGATGGTGGTGATGATGCTGGTGCTGGTGATGATGATGCTGATGAAGATGAAGATGAACATGATGATGGTGCTGATGAAGATGAATATGATGATGGTGCTGATGACGATGATGATGATGATGATGATGATGATGATGACGAGGACGATGATGATGATGATGGTGGTGGTGGTGATGATGATGATGATGGTGATGATGGTGATGGTGATGGTGATGGTGATGGTGATGGTGATGAGGATGAGGATGAGGATGAATATGATGGTGCTGATGAAGGTGAATATGATGATGGTGCTGATGACGATGATGATGATGATGATGATGACGAGGACGATGATGATGATGATGGTGGTGGTGGTGGTGATGATGATGATGATGGTGATGGTGATGGCGATGGTGATGGTGATGGTGATGGTGATGGTGATGAGGATGAGGATGATGATGCTGATGAAGATGAATATGATGATGGTGATGATGACGATGATGATGATGATGATGAGGATGATGACGATGATGATATTGATGATGATGATGATGACGAGGACGATGATGATGATGATGGTGGTGATGATGATGATGATGATGGTGGTGATGATGATGATAATGATGATGACGAGGACGATGATGATGATGATGACGGGGACGATGATGATGATGGTGGTGATGATGATGATGATAATGATGATGATGATGATGGTGATGGTGATGGTTATGGTTATGGTTATGGTGATGGTGATGGTGATGGTGATGGTGATGGTGATGGTGATGGTGATGGTGATGATGAAAATGATTATGATGATGACGATGACGATGATGATGATGATGATGATGGTGATGGTGCTGGTGCTGGTGATGGTGATGGTGATGAGGATGAGGATGATGATGATGATGATAATGATGATGATGATGGTGATGGTGATGGTGATGGTGATGGTGATGGTTATGATGATGATGATGAAAATGATGATGATGATGATGACGATGATGATGATGATGATGATGATGATGGTGATGGTGGTGCTGGTGATGGTGATGGTGATGAGGATGAGGATGAGGATAATGATGATGATGATGATGATGATGATGATGGTGATGATGATGATGATGATGACGGTGGCAATGATAGTGCTGCAATGGAGATGGCGATGGTCCGTATGAGGATGACGGAGAAAGAAGCGCGCGCACAGAACATGTGGCAAACTCGCTTTTTTCCAGTAAGCACGCGTGTCTCCCCATATTCGGGGTTTTAGACATTGAGCGGAAGGGGGGGAGTGGGGTGGGTCTGGCTCCGGACCTCTGCTTAGTGCGACTGCTTGCCGCAGTGCGTTCCTTGGCGGAGAACTCCAACTGCGTGAAACAGGGTTTAAAAACAGCCAAGATCTACTTCATTGGGGGGGGGGGCGAGGGGGTGCGAGGGCCCGCGCCGATCGGCAAAACAACGCCTAACAAGAACGGCCACATGAAGACATCTATGTGGAAGCGTTTGGGGGATAAATGGTTGTGCAGCGCTTTCGACAAGCGCGCGGGGAGGCGCACGCGTGGCCGCGCGGCGCGCTCCACACGGCGGGGGGCATCGGATGAGGAACCCTTAGGCTCGACAAGGTGGGGGCATTTTTTTTTATCTGTGTGGGCGCCGAGCGGGCCCGGCGGATTCTTGCATAAATTCAAGGCGGAGAGGCGGAGGGCCGCGCGGGCGCTTACAGCCGCCTGCCGAGGCCGCCTCAGCCCGCGGCGCGCGTCCCCGCGCGGCCTGCGCGGGCGGCCGCTGCCGACGCGGCTCGCCCACACTCGCGGGCCGCCGCTGCGTCCGCGAAGCCGTGGGCTCCACGTGCACCCTCGAGCCCTGGGCGTGACCACCGCGGCTCGGCGGCCTCCTCCCGCGGGGCCGCCGCGGCCAGCCGCCGCGTAGCCGCGGCGCTCGGCGGCGCAGCCGCCTGGCTCCCAGCGCCAGCCGCAGGCGGTGGGGGCTGGGCGGCTGCTGGCAGCCGCTGCGCTGGCACGGGCGTTGCCACGAGCGCCTGCCCCTCCGCGCCGTGGCCCTGCCTGGCCTGGAGCGCCGCCGCCCAGCGCCGGCGCGTGCACTCCGTTGGCGAGGCCAGCGGCGCGATCGGCTCCTTCGACGCTGGCAGGATGCCGCGAGCGAAGTCCGACCGCGCCTGGGCTCTGGATCCCTTCTTGCACTTGGGCTGCCCAGCCGCCGCGCTGGCCCCGCACTGCTTGCCCAGGCCGCGGTGCGCGTACCTGGGGAGGCGGCAGTGCATCCAGCAAGCCGCGCAGACCAAGAAGGGCTCGGAGTCGTCTCCTTCGACTCTCGACTCCATGAGGAGGTGGCCGTTGACCCTCCATCCCGCTGGACGGGCTGCATCAGCCGCCTCCGCAGTGGCTGGTCCGTTGCTCGCCGCCTCCGCCGCCGCCGGGCGCGGGCAGGGCGCGGGGGCTGAGGCCTCGCGGCGCCTCGGCTGCACCTGCGCCCTGCGCTGGGCGACACGTCGCAGGGCATCCGCGGGCGACTCGGCCGAGGCGGGGCGGCGCCTCATGGGCGAAGGGCGCGAGCTGGAGGCGCCAGCAGCCGCCGACCGCTGCCAGGGCCGCCGCCGTGGCGAGGAGGGGGCCGCCATCAGCCGCCGAGGCCTGCGCCTCGGCGTAGCCACCGCAAAGCTCCGCGTCGATCTCCTTCACGTTGCCATCGCCATACAGCGCGACGTGCTCCGCGTCGCGTGGCGCCTGGCGAACCTGCCGCGGGCGGCGCGCCAAGGGGGCAGCTGGGGGCGGCAGGCTGCTGTCTGCAGGCCGCGGCGGCTGCCCAGGGCCTCCGCCAGCGGCGTGCCCGACAGCGGCGGCTGCCTCGCGGCCCTCGGGGAGCTCGATGGGTTCCGAGATGCCGCTGCCGCGCACCAGCGCCGCGCCGTCAGGAGCAGCCAACAGCGCGTCCAGCTCCGCGATGCCAGCCGCGCGCACCTCCACGTCGTGCTTCTTCCCGAACTGGCCGCGCCCCTGGGACTGCGACTTCGGTGGGCTGAATCCACCTGTCCCAGGGGCGGGCTCCGCCGCGGCGGCGAACAGGGGGTCGGCCTCGCCGTCGAGCTCCGCCGCAATGTAGGGGGTGAGGTCCCGCAAGCCCGACTCCGTGTCCTGGACCTCGAACTCGGCGGCGAAGCGCGCCGTGAAGCGGGTGCGGGCCTGGCAGCCCTGGAGCAGGCGGGCCTCCTCGTCGGCGATGGCGCGCATCGCCGCGCCCGCCTTCGCGAGCTGGCCCACGAGGCGGTTGCCGAAGAGCTCCACCTCCATGAGGTCGCCCCGCTCGATGGCCGCCCGCGAACGGGAGGGGATGAGCTTCAGGGCAGACGGCGCCGCACCCCTCGCCTGCACCACCCACTCGCCAACGGTCGTGAGAACCGCCACCGACCAGACCGCGCTCCTGATCATCAGGTCGTTGTTGACGCAGGAGCCGTCCGTGAAGACGAGGGTGCCCGCGGGCACCACGAGTGCGCCCGCGTCCCAGCCGCGCGAGCGGCGCTCCCCGCCAGGGTCACAGCGCGGCCTCTGCACCTGGTACTGGGCGCCGACGAAGAGGTCCTGGCAGAAGAGCTCCTCGTAGCGGTGGCCCATCAAGCTCACCAACTCGGCAGTTCGCTTGAAACGGTCGTGGTCGGTCCGCGCGTAGAACTTGCCGTCGAGATAGACTGAGGCTGCCCCAACGCCAAGCTGGCGGGCGAGCGCGAGCCCCAGGTTGTGTGGGTAGACCGCCATGTCACAGCTGTTCGCATCCTTGCCCCAGACCAAAGTGGGCTGGTGGTCCTTCTCCCACTTGACACCGTAGCGGCGGCGCACCCTGCACCAGATGCGCAACCACTTGCCCAGGAGGCCGATCGGGCGGCGGCCTCCGTCTGGCTTCCCCAGGAAGAGGAACACCGTGGTGAATAGGGCCGTGGGCTGCGGCTGCAACACCCAAGCCGTGAGCACCTCTGCCATCATATCGGCGAAGGGCATGCCCTGGGAGAGGCCCAGCCGCGGGTGGGACCCATCCCAGCCCAGAGCGGTCTGCTTCGGGAGCGACTTCGCCGCCTCGAGGCTGTCGCCCACCGTGAACGGGGGCAGCACCATGGAGCAGATCCAATCGGCTGGTCTGGTCCTGTGCTCCCTATCGGCTCCTTTCCAGAGGGCCTTCCACTCTATGCGGATCTGGTTCTGGGCTTGCTGGACTACAACGGGGAGCGTCAGCCAGTCGGGGCAGTGCGCGATCCCCGAGTCCACCACCTGATCGCGGTCCGGTATGACATCGTGGGCTCCTTTCGCCCCTTTCGTCGAGGCCACGTCCACGTAGTCCATCCAGCGCAGCCTGGCCGCCTTGGCTTCTTCTTTGCAGAGTCTCGCCGCCGCGCTCTCGAACATCTGCAGGAAGGCCTGCCCTTGCACAGAGGGCTCTTGGATCACCACAGTCAGCGAGTCCAGCTTAGTGCCTTCAAACATGGAGCAGCCCGCCTGCTCGAACTTGGGCCCCAAGCTCTTGGCCACCTGCACCAGGTGCTTCATGTAGCCCCCGTGCCCCTCAGGGGGTGAGCTGACGGCAGCAGCCGCACTGAGCTGCCTGGCGATCCTCCCGAGGCAGCGCCAGCACTTGGTGAGGGGGCTAAGCTTCCTGACAGCCTCCGTGCGCTGCAGCTTGGCCAGCTGGAGGGGCTTGGCCTGCGGTCGCCCTGGCTGGGGCTGGGCTGCAGGCTTCGCGGCTGCCGCGGCGCCCGCGCGGCCGCCAGGCGGGCGGCTGCCCGCCGCCTTGGGGCTCCGAACCTCAGGGGGTCTCACGCCCTCGCCCTTAGCCTCGCCAACTTGAGTTGGGTACCCACTAATCCGTATGGGCCCCTGGCTGGGCTGAGGACTGCCAGTCCTTCGGTCGGGCCCATCCAAGT